TCACTTTGTAGCCCAGGCTGGTCTTGAACTCACAGCGATCCTCCTGCCTCAGCCTCCCGAGTGCTGGGATTACAAGTGTGTACCACCACGCCCAGCTATTTTTTTGTTGTTGGTTTTTTTTCGTTCTTTTGTTTTTTTATTTTTTGTACATAGCATTCTCTACTGTGCTGTTAGGGAAAGTGGGGCAGGGGTACCCAAGGGATGTAAAGTGTTACAGAACAATCAAAGTAAGATTGGCGGCAGGAAAGCAGCCCCCAGTATAATTAAAGGTGTGTTGTTCTGTTGAGGGCGATGGAAAGGGATCCCAGAGATTGGAGGACAGGGCCCTATGGTTAAGGGAGAGATAATGGCATGGTGGAAGGCTCCTTTTCTGGATTTTCCGTTAGCTGCTGTGGCCTCAGGAACTGGCTTAATGACTTTTCCAGGGTTTGGTCTGGCGCTTTATCAGTTCACTGTAACAAGGGTACGAGCCAGGAAAGCCTGAAAAAATCACTGCAGCAAAACATGCCCTTCTGCCGGGCGCTGGGGGGCAACGAGCAGGGTGCTGAGCCCTTCCGGTCTGCGCCTGGACGCTGTAGCGAGCCGACCGGTCCAGAAGCGCAGGTAAACAAACGGCAGTGCAGAGTTCGAGGAAAAGGGGGGAAACAACGGGGAAAGGCTCACGCTGTTTTGCTGCTGTAAAATGCTCAGTTAACCCTAATTGAATTTGACAATAATAAATTACATATTGAAACTGTATAGTTCACCTAAGGAATAGCAATGAAAACAGTGAAGACACCAGAAGCCAGAGTTCAGGAAATGTCATATTCACATAGAAATGCTTTACATTTTTCTCAGAGGTTTTTGAGCCTTTTTTTTCCACAAAGACTCCGGACCACCCAGCGCACAGAGTCCTTTCTGGAAACTGTACATGAAATCATCACTTCAGTTCAGCTTCTGCCCTGTTGTCCTATTGTGGCTTTCAGTCTCCAAATAAAGAAGGAGCCAAACTGCCCACAGGGAAGAGAAACAGATGAACGCCTCCTTTCCCTTGTCCTCAGGAGCTGGTCAAGACCCAGTGTGTGCGTTGGGGGCGTGGTGCAGAAGTTCAGAAGCCTTTACAAGAGCTGAATATAGATGTAGTGCATGCTGTGGCCTTACACGCCCTGCTCCCAGCACCTTGTTCCCCACATCCCGCCCTTCCTGACTTTCTGCTAGGAGTCCAGCTTGCACAATCTGACCTCTCTGTGGGCCAGAGGATGCTGTGCGTAGCCTTGCAGATAGCTGTGGGCTTCCGTGTAAGTGACACTGCAGTGAAGACAGGACATGCTTTCCACAAGGGCTAGGTACAAACAAGTGGGACATCCTCGGTCTTTCCTTGGAAGATGACTAGGGGTCTGGGGACCTCTAGGCGGTCCCCAGTACTGGGAGGCCTTGGGTTCATCCTCAGGGCAGCAAAACCAAAACAGAAACAAACAGACTTGACTGGGCACCAGCATACCGACCGGTCCTGATGTCAGCTCGGTGGCAGCTGGCAGGAGAGCTGCCTGCTGTTCTGTCAGCTCCTCGTGCTCTTCCCTCCCAAGGTCTCTTGGTCTAATCTCATTTCAGAGAGACGTAGCCTTGGCAGAGGGTTAAAGGAAGCCGCTCGACTGCAGGGTAAGAGCTGCGCTTACAACTAAATTGGGAAGTTTAACGGCCGTCTCTGGTTTCAATGAAATACTTTTACAGTGCATGGTAGCAACGTCTGTTTCTAAGCTTTAGAAAACCATTTCTCTTTTTCCCTAATTGTAGTTCCCTGGTTGTTTTTATATTATGAGCTACTTGTAGAAAAATACAAGAAACATAATTACAATACAAAGCTCCCTTTCCCAAGCCTACTGGATTTCCAAAGCCAAACGGGGTTTTGGGGCTTGCTCACTCTGAGTCTGCAGCCATGGACTGCACCCTCTGCAGTGTGGGTGCGTGACAGCCGTGTGACCCCACGGAACAGTGACCACGCTGCTCCACGCAGGGAGCTGCTGCAGGGCTGAGGCCGGGAGCACGTCTGGGTTGCCTCAGGATGCCACACTGCTCAGCTTCCTCTGGGGAAAAAGAATGAGCATCTTTGTGTGACTCCTCTAGTAAAAGGGGAGCATTGTGGAAGTACATTCGAGTTTACTTAGGGAAAGGAAAGAGAAATAAATTTCTCGGTTTGTTTTCCCACTTAGCTGGCAGCTCTGAGGGCACTGTGCTAATTACTAATTTTTGATCCTACCTTTCCCGAGGAATCTGCATACAGACTTGGAGACTGGCAGAAAGGGCTTGTTCTATGCTCTGGGTAACACTCTGGGGAGGAAACGGTACTTGGGGGTATTGTGAAACGTGAAACCCCAGAGGGTGGTTCGTTGGAGGCTAAACAGCAAGGATGGATGACTGAGCGGTGCCGAGGGAAATCCAGGCGCCTTGGTGCCAGGCTGGGCTGCGGAGCTGGTGCCCGGGGGCCATGCCATCAGGTCGACCTTCGATGGGTGAGTCTAGGACAAAACCCCACCTGCCGCGTCCGGCACTGAAGCAGACGCAGGAGCCGCCTTGTCTCCGGGGCCTCCCGGAGATCAGCTACCGTCACTTGACGTAGCTTAGGTTGCCCTCGACCCTGACAGAGGCTCTTGCACCCGGTCGGAGGCCTCCTGCCCGGCCTTGGCCCGCTGCTGCGCCGGACCCACTTCTCGCCCGCGTCCCTGCCGCCGGCGGAGGGGGAGCTCGGCCCCCCGCTCCGCTCCGC